TTTGTTAACTCGTTTTTCTATCAATCCAGTGTACAAATAGTAATAATTTTTTATGCGCATCAGTATGATACATCAGTATTATACATCAGTATGATCTTCATCTTTCACTAAGATCATCATGATTTTTCATTGTCACAATGAAATTCATACTTCCACCAATAAATATAATTATTTATGCATAAAAAAGTTAAAATTTTTATAAAAATTTTAAAATAATAAATTGCTCTCAGTTAATCTCAAAAGAGATCTCTCGTTCTATTATCCTAAAAATATTTTAATATGCATGTTTATGTAATCAATATATTGCTGGTCCTAATAATGATACACATTTCTATCGGCTAATCAAAATTAGATTAAGAAATCTCCGACAATATGTTAGAAACAAATTGTACAGAGAGTGTGTAACGTTATATGACGGATATGTTACGTGACGAACGTGCACTCGAGCAGCAAACGTCATCAGCGCGAGAGATATTGCAGTAATAAACGTAGGGCGCACCTTCTTGGTCCGATTGTACCAGACGAGATTAATTGCAGCTATTCTATTTCCTTGGTAACGTCGGGACTCGCAAGCTCGACCACAGCAGGTAGAATGGTCGCGCGTGGTTCCAGGATCAAATGGAATATGGACGGAAAACATAGATGTGATGGTCCGTCGCGGTGCAATATTATTTTCCCCTTTTGTTCAATTAATGGCTGTATTTGCAGCTCGCACGCAACTTAACCGTCCGCGACAAAATAAGACTCTCGGGATGGAAAAGACTTGTCGCGTAACAACAACGATGGCGGAAACCGCGTGTCATCCGGAGTTGTTCATCGTGGTCTCTTTGGCTCTTGGCACATCTCCCTCACGACGAAATTATCCTTTGGCCATTGTACTTTTTAAAACCTCGACAATAACGACGACTATCCGGCTTTTCAGAGAGTTTTATCGCGGAAGCGTATAATACGTGACTGTAACGATCGTCCGCAATGAGTGCCGCGTATATTTCGTAAATAGTTGCAGTCACGAATCTTGCAACTGTCACGAATGCAACATTCCACGATGATGTGACCATCTTTGCAGTATGAAACATATAAGAATAAAAAAAGATTTTCTTGAAATCTTCATTTTGATGCGTGAAAAAAAAATATTTTCACGGTAATACAAACATTCCTTGATATATTAATGTTTTGTAATTTTTACATTAACATTTTTATATTAATATTGAAGAATTAATATTGAAGAATTCTCGTTGAAAAAATGAAAATGATAATACAAAATTTTCTTATGTCAAATATAAGAAAACAAATTAGTAAATTAATAATCGCTTAGAAATCAGATAAAAGCTTAGAATCAGAGTAATTTGAAAATTGTATCAGTTGTTTTGTGACTGTAAAAGATTACACAAAAGGAACTAGAAGATTACACTAAACAGTTTGAGTAACATTTTCTATTGCTGGAAAGCTATCTGGATATCTTCTTTGTCCACAGCAGAGGAACATCGTTAAGAGGTTGTAGAATTTATGTGGCGGTTAATTGGAATGAGGATACGAACAGGTTGCGATACAACTCCGTTGTTGTTGTACAGCTTTATAAGTATACAACTCCAACCATTCTCAGTATCTTCCAATCTAGCAGATTAAAGAACGTAGATATAATCCGGAGCGCAGTAATTTCATTGTTGTTTTCAGAATACGATTTTCTACTTTCGCTCTTTGAACCATCTCTCGCATAAATTTCAACAAATCCGAAATTTTTATAAAAGATCATAAAGTCTTCGTGATTTTGTTTAATCAGACTATGACTTGTGGAAATGGTTTTAGATATGAATCATAGATAGGGCTTACCGTTGGCACGACGACCGTGGAAGAATATCGAAGAAAATCGTCTCGAAGCCACGAACAAAGAACGGCGAAGCGAGTAGGAAGAGAAAAATATGAAGGTATAGCCAAGTGTACGAAAAATTCAGTAAAAAGAACACGGTAGAAAATGGTTTTACTCTCGTAACAACAGCGGAAAAGAAGGGCAGAGAAATGATTTACGTACAAGCGGCAACTACCGTCCATACCTACGCGTGAACAAGGTAGTGTAAGTACGATAAAGAAAAGACGAAAATTATAAACGGCAAGAACCATTTTCCTGTACAAAATTATTTTTATTCCAGTTTTTTTTTAATTACCATTTTAAGTTACCGTTTGCTAAGAACTATAACAATTGGTAGCTTTACAAGCAATATCGTACTTTTAAAATGATTATAATTAAAATATATATTATAATTACAAAAAGATATAAAAATATAAGTATAAAATATTTAACAAATTATTATATCGAAACATACAACATGTTATATAGAAATTATAATGTTATGCATATTATTAGCAAATAAATATTATAATATCAATAAGTTGAAATATAAATTTCAATTCAATTTAACAATATTAGTGAGAGAGAGAGAGAGAGAGAGAGAGAGAGAGAGAGAGAGAGAGAGAGAGAAGAAGAAGAAGAGAGAGAGAAGAGAGAGAGAGAGAGAGAGAGAGAGAGAGAGAGAGAGAGAGAGAGAGAGAGAGAGAGAGAGAGACTGCAGTTGCTCGACTTTGCAATGTGGCGTGAGCTGCATTAGGCTACACACACCAAAAACGGTTTACACATTAATGGCAGCAACGCTTAACCCTTAGAATACATAACATCATAATGATAAATTTACGAAAAATAAAATAAGAGAATTTCGAGAAATCATAAAAAAAACGGCAAAAAAAATAACTTTAAGTTTGTCTATTACAATTTTCCAGGAGAAAGAAAATTTAATCGAATAATGCAGAAAGCGAAAAGAAATAAATAGAAAAAAATTAACAAGTAAGTTGTCTCAAGTCACAATCTTAAAAAAATTTGTCTCTTTTATTTTAAAGAAAATAAATAATCTTAAGGAATTCACAAATTCGATATATATATTTAATAGATATATTTTATTTCAATCTTAATTAAAAAAAGGAAAAAAAATTTTTATTATACTCTTATTTATATGTATATTTTTCAAACACATTGTCATAATTATTTAAAAATCAATATTTTATTTAAAATCGCCTGCAATAATTAAAAACCATCGTTCTGTAGAATTTATGCAAATAATAAATACTAATAAGAGTGATTGCTAAAAGATATAAACGAAACTAAATTCTATGAATACATTACCATAACTTATATATAACTTATTAGCATTATAGCTGATTAAAAAAAATGTGTATTATAAAACAACGTACAATTGTGCCATTGGTATATGCGAA